AGGTGGTAGCTGCCCCAGAGAAGTGATTATTAACTGCCTTTACTAAATGGGCCTAGTGTTGCCTAGGAAGAGAGCATGTTGTGGAGAGGGGAAGGAATGTACTAAGCTATGGGAAGGGAACTCATTTTCAGTAACAATAGATTTTTTCAGTCATTCACCTAATATTTGTGCCATACCTACTAGGCCCTGTGTTAGGTGAGAACATGGCTAGAAAGGCACTTAATTCCTTACAGCTTGAAGCTAATAATTGAGTCTAATCTGAGAGACACACACATTAAATTGCTGCTACAAACTTGAACTAGAAACTTTGATTCTGTTTGGAGGAGTAGGACTTCCTTGAGGTAAGGACAGAGGGAAAACAATCACACTTTACTAAGATAATAGATTGCAAAATACATCAACAATAGGCCTTTGTTTTTAACAGTGATCTATAGTAGGAAGTACTTGGGAGAAAAATAGAGGTTGTTTTTTTTTTCCCTGTGCTGGTTCTAGGACTCAAAATGAGGGCCTGGGTGCTGTTCCTTAGCTTTTTCACTCAGGGTTTGAGCCACATCTCTGTTTCTGTCTTTTTGGTAGTTAATTGAAGATGAGAATCTCATGGACATTCATGCCAGGGCTGCCTTTAACTGCCATCCTCAGATCTCATCCTCCTGAGTTGCCAGGATGACAGGTGTGAGCCACTGGTACCTGGCCAAGAGAATATTCTTAACTAAAGGTAAGTATGTACAATAGCTCTTAAAAAAAAAAAAAAAAAAAAGTAGTAGTAGGCTGGGGTGGTGACACAGTGGTAGAGTGCTTTGATTTGGGTTGGGTTCCTAGTCTTGAAAAAAGTAAAATGTGTGTGTGTGTGTGACTGACTATGTGAAACGAACTGAAACATAGAAAGTGAATGGAAATGCTCTTAACATAGATGCTGTTACGGAATCAGATCTCTCTAAAGTTTATTCATCCAATGACCTTAGTCTCCTTTTCCTTAAATAAACTCATTCTCTTTGTTTTGTTCACATTTATATGATAGGATTATGTGATTAGTGTTACCCTCTGATCACAAATTTATAAAATTAGCAATTTTCTTACTCCATTATATTAGTAACAAAGCCAGGTAAAAGGAGTCAAGATTCAGGGCTGTGGAGATGCCAATGTATGTAATACAAGTAGATACTAACTATTAAATAATTTAGTAGATCAGAATTTCTGCATAAATAGTTCAAGATCAATTAAGTATTATTTGGATAATAAATACCTCTTTTGTGATAAATTTTCTTTCACTGAAAATTTTATTTCGATCAAAATTAAATCAATATTATAAGCCAGGTGCTAGTGGCTTATGCCTGTAATTCTAGCTACTCAGGAGGATGAGATATCAGGATTGCATTTCAAAGCTAGCCCAAGCAAGAAAGTCCATGAGACTCTTATCTCCAATTAACCACTAGAAAATTGGAAATGGCTCTGTGGCTCAAGTAGTAGAATGCTGCCCTTGACCTGAAGAGCTCAGGGACAATACTTAAGCCCAGAGTTCAAGCCCCACAAACAACAACAACACCCCTCCCCCCAAAAAAAACAATATTGTTTTCCTACATGTATAAGTGGTTGAATAAGAATGGAATAGGGCTGGGAATGTGGCTTAGTGGTAGAGTGTTTGCTTAGCATGCATAAAGCCCTGAGTTCGATTCCTCAGTACCACATACACAGACCAAGCCAGAAGTGGTGCTGTGGATCAAGTGGTAGAGTGCTAGCCTTGAGCACAGAGAGGCTCAGGGACAGACCTCCAGTCCCTGATTTCAAGCCATAGGACTGGAATAAAGAGATAGAAAAATTTAGATTTCTGCGTAACAGAGAAAGCTAATCTGATAATAAAATATACCAAGGATAACTTATGACAAAACCAGGTGTATTAAGTCTTGATTACTGAACAAATAAATGACCTACAGTTAAATCTTATGTTCTATTTGTTTGGTGTTTGTCTGGAGAACAAAGTGATTATTGCATGGGACTTCAATACAAGGATTTATTTGTAACATTAAAATTAAACCTCAAAAGCAACATTTTCAGGGTTCAGATTCAGAGCAAGTTAGTAGGTTAACATTTAATAACATTAAAAGTTGAAATAATTCTTGGCTTGTATCTTTCTAAAGACAAATCAAGTGCACTGGAAACTTGGGGAGTGATCTGGTAATATCAGAAACTAGTGCGTGGCAAGAAAATATTTCCTTCATTCTTTTATTAGTTATCTTTATTATTAATGCCACAAATTTTGTGAGATATGAACTATATGCTGTACATTACTTAGGGGACTGGGTACAGCTTTTACAAACATACATAGGTGTGAGTATATTTAAGCAGTAGTTAGCATAATACACCCTTGAAATAAGCAGAAGAATTCACCCATATACTTTCTAGAAACAAATATGCAAATATTTTATATTATGTAACTTAGCCTAAAAAATAGAGTAAATTACAAGTAAACTTAGTTGTCTTCCTGTATAACAATGAATTTTAAAAGGCAAGCAGTTTCTAGACTGGTAAATAAAGAACTTAGAAATTGTCATTCTATCCTCATAATAAATAAGAAGAGAGAAAACCAAAGTCAACACTCCTTTTAGGTTTGTCAGAGATGTGAGTTCACTGAGAAAACTATTGTCACCTCAAATTAAACAAAGATTTTTTTTTTTCTTCCGGTCATGGGGCTTGAACTGCGGGCCTGGGTGCTGTCCCTCAGCTCTTCAGCTCAAGGCAAGCACTCTAACACTTGAGCCTCAGCTCCACTTCCAGTTTCCTGGTGGTTTATTGGAGATAAGAGTCTCAGGGACTTTCCTGCTTGGGCTGGCTTTGAACTGCCATCCTCAGATCTCATCCTCCTGAATAACTGGGATTACAGGCATGAGCTACCAGCGCCCCACCTAGACAAAGATTTTTAAGTGCCAAAGCCTATGTGGGAACCAGTGTTTGGTAGGAAAATCTGAACTATAATTGATGAATTGCTAGAGACTCAGAATGGACAAGCCTAAGAACCATAGGGGTATCCCACACTTTTGTGAATTGCCCTGTTCTAGTGTAAGAGACAAATCCCCCTTATATTTCCAGTTGTAAAGAGAGCATTTCTGAAATATACCAGAACATGCTCTGTGTGTGTGTGTGTGTGTGTGTGTGTGTGTGTGTGTGTGTGTTGGTTTTAGGACTTGAACTCAAGGGCTGGGCTCTGTACATGAGCTTATTTACTCAAGGTTAGTGCTAATGCTCTACCACTTGGGCTGCAGCTTCACTTTCAACTGACTTGGAACTGCAATCCTCAGATCTCAGCCTCCTGAGAAGCTAGGATTATATGCAGGAACCACCAGTGCCTGCCTAAACTTTAAAAAAGAATACAATTTTATTCCCATTAATATAGCAATATCATTGACTCTAGCTTTCTGTGTAGTGAAGAGAAATATACCTACTCCACCCTCTCTGGTCAACATGCCCCAAATCCAAAGGAACAACAATTGAAAAACTGGCGGAAGTTCACAGTACAGGCTTACTTACTCACCAAAAGACTGAGACGTGACCATAGGACTATTGAACGCTTCTGCTCACTACCTTGCCACTGCCATTCTCTAGTTCCTTTTATTCAATACATCACATTCTCCCTTCAACAAAAAATTACAAAGCATATAAAAGGGTAAGTAATCTTACAACATCAAGATTTGGCAGAAAGCCTTCTGACTGTAGGTGGCCTGCAATTTTTCACCTAAAACCTCTAGTAACAAAGGGGAAGTAGTTTTGAAGACATGCTTCAGTTATGCCTTAAATTTATCAGTTAATAGTCCTGATCTTGGTAGAAACAGTAGCTTCCCTGGTATCCCTGTTCTGAGGTGTGTGGCTTTGATGATTAATCCTGGAAACTCATTTATAATCTGTTTCATCTATCCACTAAAATAATTCTGCAAGCCATTTTAATTTTTTTGTCATGGGGCTTGAACTCTGGGCCTGGGCGCTGTCCCTCAGCTTTTCAGCTCAAGGCTAGTGCTTTACCACTTGAGCCACAGCACCACTTCCAGCTCTTTCTGTGGTGCTGAGGAATCAATCCCAGGGCCTCATGCATGCCAGGCAAGCGCTCTACCACTGAGCCACCTTCCCCGCCCATGCAAGCCATTTTTATCTGTAGCACTTGCTGTCCAACTCGAATATATTTTCTTCTCTGTGACCCATCCTTCACCAATAGAGTAGCAGAAGTGGTTGTATCCAATATTCTTCCAAGAATTATTGGTTATCTAATCTGGATGGCTTTATGGAAGCAAAAATTCTAGAATCCGCAGATGAGAATTAGGAAATCTCTATTGTTTAAATGAACACTTCGGATGTGTAGAATGAAGTGGCTTCTGAATGCAAATTTGGGCAAACCACAAAGCAGCAATGAGAAAGGAGTATCGGTTTCTGGAATGGCTTTCTGTTCCTAACTATACCAAAAGAAAATCTTAGCTGGGTGCTGGTGGCTCATGCCTGTAATCCTAGCTACTCAGGAAGCTGAGATCTGAGGATGGCGGTTCAAAGCCAGCCCGGGCAGGAAAGTCCGTGAGACTCTTATCTCCAACAAACCACTAGAAAACCGGAAGTAGTGCTGTGACTCAAGCGGTAGAGCGCTTGCCTTGAGCTGAAGAGCACAGGGACAGCGCCCAGGCCCAGAGTTCAAGCCTCACATCCGATGGAAAAGAAAAAGAAAATCTTAAATAAAGACCTGGCCAACCTTGGTGTTGTAAATTCCTGGTTCTAGGCATGATGAGAGGAGCATCTACAAGTATCCTGAAAGGAGCTTTTGCGTTTTTTAAACCTACAACAATCATCTGAAAGAATTTGATCCTCCAAGTTATTATAGAATTAAAAACGAAGATGAACCCTTCTTTTCCAGTTTTACAAGCTTCTGTTCAGTATGAATTTTGTATTTTTAATTTTTTTTGTATTTATTGGGATAATCATTTTTCCTTTCTTAATCTCTTATTACAGTGAATTAAACTAATGTCTCCTTTTAAAATATTGCTGGTGTAGAGGTGACATATTGAGAGGTTACAAGTTACATGAATCAGGTAATGAGTACCATTCTTTTTGAACCTTGTCTCCTCTTCCCTTGCTCTCTCCCAGTTTTTACCTCTCATCCCCATGCACAAGATGTACAATTTATTTTCCATATAGTGTCTAGTGAGTCCCACTGTTGTATTTATTCACCCTTTGTTCCACCTTTTCTGTTCCCCCCTTACCCTAACAAACAAGAAAAAAAAGGAAAAGAAAACAAATACAGCAACAACAGCAACTTAAAAAAATATCTTGTTTCCTTTTCTTGGAATTCATTTCATACAATATTATTTTATATGATCATATGCACATAGCTATTGAACCTTTCTGATCCACTCCTAGGTGTATCCTCCTTTGGCTTCAATGTGTGAATGTTGATTAACATCTTTTTTTTTTTTGTCGGTCATGGGGCCTGAACTCTGGGCCTGAGCACTGTCCCTCAGCTCTTCAGCTTAAGGCTAGCGCCCTACCACTTGAGCCAAAGTGCCACTTCCAGCTTTTTCTGCTTATGTGGTGCTGAGGAATCGAACACAGGGCCTCATGCACGCAAGGCAAGCACTCTACACTGAGCCACCTTCCCAGCCCCTTGATTGACATCTTTATACTAGCCAACAATTTTATTTTTTCTAAAAACAATATAAAAAAATCAACTTTAGAAAGGAAAATATAAAGATTTGAAATCTCATATACCTGTCAACAAATGTTTTGTTAACACCAGTTATATTTAATGATTATATTTACGCAGGAACTGTGTCCCTGACATTTTTCTTCCCTCAGGGATAACACTGTACCATTTGAGCCACAGCTCTACTTCTGGCTTTTTAGTGGTTAATAGAGATAAGAACCTGGGGCAGGGAATGTGGCTTGGTGGTGGAGGACTTGCCTAGCAAGCATGAGGCCCTAAGTTCTGTTCCTTGGTACCACATAAACAATAAATAAAACTAATAAAATATGGGGAAAAATAACCATTAATTTTTTATTCCTTTTCATTCCTTTTCCCCCCTTTATTTCTTTATTTTTCCTTCCTTTTTTTAATTTTAATTTTTATTTCTTTTTATTTTATTTTTGTTTTTTTCCTTTTTTTCTGGTCTTTTAGTTCTTATTCTTTTTTCTTTTGATCCTTTTTTGTTTGTATGTTTGTTTGTTTTTGTTCGCATTTTGGTTCTGTCTAGTTGGCTCATCTTGTTATCTTTATGGTTTGTTTTGGTTTATCCTGACTTTTACAATCTCCTTTTCTGCCCCGTAATACCTCTCCCCATCCAAAAGTGAGATGAGTTTGTTTGTTTGTTTTTTGGTTCGGTCGTGGCACTTGAACTCTGGGCCTGGGCGCTGTCCCTCAGCTCTTCCGCTCAAAGCTAGCGCTCTACCACTTGAGCCACAGCACCACTTCCACCATTAATTTTTTTTAAACAAAGGAATCTCATGAACTTTCCTGTCAGGCTGCTTTTGAACCTTCCTCTGATTGCCTCCTGAATAGCTAGGATTATGGTTGTGAGCCACCTGCATTTGGCTTTAAACTTAGACATGAGCCACCAACATCTGGCTTTAAGACTTTAAAAAAAATTCCCAAATACAAATCTGTTAAATTGGGATGAGCACTTAAAAGGTTATTTTATGCCCAGAGTCCTATTTGAGACAATTTGCATTATAGCTAAACTTCTTAGTCTCAAGATCCAGTCAAGATTGTGAGGTTGTACTTTAACCATGCCTTTGAAACAAATTCATATGAAATAAGTTTTCACAGTTATTTCAGAATGAATTGTTTTCCTTTAATTCCCTTAGTAAGGAGTAAGAAATAACAAATGATTCTAATTTCTCCCTTCAATAGTCAAATTTACTTACAAGGGTTCCCAAGATGGTCAGTTTTATGTTTCAACTGTTCTGGTGGTCTCAACAAGTCTTTTAAAATCTTTTTTATAAAATGAACTTTCTGTTCCTCTGATTGGATGATCAAACTATATGCTGTGACGTTTTTAGGAATAACTACCTTGGGGCTTTTCTATTGTTTTCCAACTCTGGGATCTGGTCACACTGGGTAAATAATGCTCTATCTCAGCTTATTTCCCCTGTAGCACTTGAAGATGCATTTATCTATCTTTTGTCATTCTCTGGTATCTGACAACCTGGAGCTGGCACATTTTTGATTGATGCTGTTTTGTTTCAGGGCTATACCCCTGCACAGCTTAACCTTCTTGGGAGATATTCCTTTATATTGAGTTGAGACCACTGAATAATTGTGCTAATGTATGAAGACATGACACTTCTTGAAGACCAGTGGGCAGTGAGGCAATTTGCTCTGGCCTCTTGCATCAGGTGACCATAATTCTGATCCTTCTCTTTTCCACAGAGAAAATACCAATTTGTTCCATCCTCTTGTTCTTCTTCATTCACCAGGATCCAGCATCCATGCCAATTCTTACCTATGACTTAATGAGCAATTTTGGTGTATTAATTTAATTTTATATTCCTGAGATAAATCTCATTTGGTTTTGTTGTATTATCCTTTTTATATAGCATTATATTTGATTTGCCAAAATTACACATATGTTTGTGAAATGTATTGGTTTGCAGTTTTACTATAATATCATTGTTTGATTCTGTCCTCAGAGAATGAGTTGGCATGTTTGCTCTTCATCCATTTTTTTTCAAAGTTTTGTGGAATTGGTATTGTTCCTTGCTTCAGTGTTTGAAATACTTTATCAAGGAATGAATAAATCCCTATAGGATATTGTTCCTTGCTTCAGTGTTTGAAATACTTTATCAAGGAATGAATAAATCCCTATAGGATTTATTGTTTTCATTTTGGAGAAGTTTTTAAGTGTAAGTCCAAGTTTTTAATAACTTATATACATTATTAAAATTACTTATTATAAGTTATTCATTCCAATTATTTCTTTTCCAGTTAAAAGTTTCTAGTTATTCATTCTTAGCTATTTTTCATTCTATTTCTTTTCCAGCTTTAGAAATTTATGTCTTTAAAGAAGTTTGCCCATTTTATACCTCTCACCCAAAACAATCTGAAATATGTTTCATCTTAATTTAATATAATGAACCACTTCTTCTGATTAATATCAATATAGCATATTTATTGTCCTTTAACTTATAACCTATCTGTTTAGCATAGTTGAGTCTTGCTTTTGTTTATTTAATCTTTTAATATGTGGATTTTAAATGATAGAGTTTAAGCTGTTTTTATTTAATGTAATTATTGCTATTTGTGTTTAATGCTCTATTTTTTTCTGACCTTTGTTTCAATTTTTTGTTTGTAACATTTATGTAATTTTTATTCCATTTTATTTTCTTGCTTAGATTCTTTATAAGCAAGTTATAATTCTTTTTAAATTATAATAAGAAGTTCTAACATATAGCAGTCTCATTTTCATTTCCCAGCCTTTCCCTATTTGTTCTATTTACTTGTACATTTTTCATAAACACTACATTATGAATACATTGATTGTTTCTCTAAGGAGTCAATTATCAACCATGCTTGTTGGTACACACCTGTAATTTCAGCACTTGAGGGGCTGAGGCTAGAAATTCTCAAATTCAAGGCCTTCCTGGGCTACATAGGCCCTATCTGCAAGGAAAAACAAATTTAGTATCATTAAAAAATATATTTTCCTACCTGGCTACTATATTATGGTGGTCTCCATTTTTTATACATATTTCAAGTTTCTACTTGGCATTATTATTACTTTGCTCAAAAGACTGTTTCTTGTAGCGCAAGTCAGCTTTCTTTGTGTCTGAAAAAAGTATTTTCTGTGTGTGTACGTGTGCGTGCTCATGCATGTGTGGTACCTGACTTAGGGGTTAAACTCAGGGCCTGGGCAATGTCCCTGAGCATTTTTAGCTGAAAGACACTGGAGCCAGAGGGCCACTTCTGGCCTTTTGGCAGTTAGTTGGAGATAAAGAGTCTCATGGACTTTACTGCCCCATCTTGCTTTGAACCTCAGTAGTGAAATCTCTGCCTGGGATTGCAGTAGCTGATATTACAAACCTGAGCTACTGACACCCATCTTTAACCTTTGTTTTTGAGGGATATTTTCACTGGATAAACAATTCTAGGTTGACTGCTAAGATCAGACTTTATCTCAATTCTGTTTTTTTTTTTTTGGTATCTTACATTAAAAAATTTATTATTATTAAGGTTATGTACAAAGAGATAACAATTAAATTAGTGGTGTAATGAATACATTTCCTTTCATACCATGTTAAACCTTCCCTCACTTTCTCCCAGTCCCTCCCTCCTATCTCTACCCGTGAGTTGTATAGTTCACTTTCACCATTGTCCAGTGAGCTTCTATGCTGCATTTTTTTTACCTTTTCACACAGGTTTGTCCCCGCTCAACTGAAAAAGATAGACACACTAATAAACCACACAGAAAGAAAAGGAAGCAAAAACAACATTTCTATACATGTACTATTTTATGTAAATATAAAGAGGCACAAAGACATTGCACCTACGCCTAAGAATGTTCTCTTTTGTCTCACTGTGTGTGTGTGTGTGTGTGTGTGTGTGTGTCTAGAATCCCGTGTAAGTTATCATATCCCAGTGTATTTTAGATCTAACTCCTACATATGAGAGAAAACATGAGCTGTTTGTCTCTCTGAGCTTGGCTTACCTCACTTAACATGATTTTTTTCTAGGTCTGTGCATTTCCCTGAAAAGAACACAATAATGCCTGTGTAAAATTCCACATGTTTTGGATTCACTCATCTATTGAAGGCATCTGGGTTATTTTCACAATTTGGCTATTGTGACTAGTGCAGCAATGAACATGGATGTACAAGTGTCTTTATGGTATACTGGCTTGTGATATTCTGGGATGGGTTGTAGGAAAGATTTATGTTTTGTTTTTTGAGGAATCTCCAGACTGCTGCCCAGAGTGGTTGTAGTAGTTTACATTCCCACCAACAGGGCAATAGGGTCCCTTTTTCTCTACATCCACACCAACATTTGCTGTTGTTAGAATTCATAATGTTGACCATTCTAAATGGTGTGAGATGATATCTCATGGTTGTTTTGACTTGCATTTCCCTGATGTCCAGGGATAATGAGCATTTCCTCATGTGCTTCTTTGCCATTCTTACCTCTTCTTCTGAGAAGTTGCTCCTTAGCTCCTTTGCCCCTTTAGTGATTGATTTATTAGCTTTGGGAGGGGTTAGTTTCTTGAGTTCATTGTATTTTTTGGGTGGGGGGGTCCAGTCGTGGGGCCTGAACTCTGGGCCTGGGCGCTGTCCCTCAGCTCTTCAGCTTAAGACTAGCGCTCTACCACTTGAGCCACAGCGCCACTTTCTGGCTTTTTTCTTTTTGCTTATATGGTGCTGGGGAATTGAACCCAGGGCCTCAGGCATGCAAGGCAAGCGCTCTACCACTGAGCCACCTTCCCAGCCCCGAGTTCATTGTATTTTATGTCAGTTATTATGGAAGTACAAATAATGTTTCCTCTAATCCTTTGATGTGATTCTTCCCAATCCCCAGTCTGTTGGTAATTTTCTTACCTGCATAGTCTGATCAGTCCTTACCTGATCACTCATGTGATCTTCTCTTCAGATCGCTAGAGTCTAATAAGAGTTCTCTATAGAGTTCTCCATAAATAAGAAATCATGGGTTATGTCAACACAAAAGTGCAGAGCCAAAGTGAAGAAAGAAAACAATGAAGCTAGAGAATTTAGCCCTCTAAATGTGAGAAAGGAGTGATTTCCACATGAAGTTATATGGAGAATATATGTTGGAGATCAAGTTAGAGAGAACTGGCTAGGGAAGATTTCCTTAGGTTCCCCAGGCTTATCCTATCAAAGAATGGGGAGCTTTCCCAGCACTTGCCTTGATGGTAGTAATTCTTACTGGGAGGAGGTTCTATTCCAACTCTGTTATATTAGCCAAACCTGGCTACGACCCCAGACATTTGCCTGTCCTGATCTGTTTATTATAATTATTGTGTACATGCCTCCCTGTTTCCAAATTTGCACCCATTCACTCCATAGTCCATCTGGCTTCCCATTCTAGCTCCATTTCCAACTTATAGTTCTGCTCTTGTCCTTTGTACTAGACTTGGATGTCTTGTTTTCTATTTCCAACTCTTGGCTTGCAAAAAAACCCAAAACCATACAAATGAGCATTCCTACTTCAAAACATTTTGTGTTATTCTTCTTTAAGGACCTTACCCCCATTTCTGGTCATGGATTACTGCCTCAACCAAACCAGTGGACCTTACAAGAGAGAATCACACCAGTGGTTATTCACATGGTTTCACACTAAAGCTCTCCTAACTAGTTGCAGTGCCAGGAGTAGGTATAATAATGTCAAAGTCCAGATCACCCTCTATTGTGTATTTTGGCTCCTTCTTTTTGGCAGTTGGAGTGAATTAAAAGGGCACTGGGTTCTAACTAGAGTCCTAGGGACATGTGCACAAGGAGCATTTCAATGTATTTGAGATGTATGGAGGGTAAATCTGAATGTGGAAGCCTTCCATTTTGTGCATCAAGGAACTTGATAATGTATACACTAGAAATTGGTAATGGTGGCACATACTATTGTGAGAGTAGTCAGAGTCTGCTGTCTATTGTCTCCCTTTTTATTGAAGGCCATCAGGTTAAACTTTTCCTTTATTTAACATGCCCTTGCTATGTCCCCTTCTCTGTTATACATGTATTTTGTACACACTACAACTTGATCAGGCATGGTCTTTACTGTTACAATGTTTGAGTCATGTTAGCTTCAAGGAGATAAAAAAAAAAGACTGTTGTTTCAGAAAGCTATAGTTAATATCTTGCCACATTAGAAACAGGTAACTGCTAGTCATAGAGGGCTATTATAAAGATTTCTGTCTTTATTTTTTTAAAGGTGGAATGCACTGAGGTTTATTAAGCAGAAGAGTACTATGATTTGTTTTCAAAGGATTGTCCTATTTCATTTACAGAAAAGGTCAAAAGGATAAATAAAGACCAGTAATCATCTGATTTTACAGGAAAGATTCTTTGCAGGTGTAGACCACTAGCTTAATAGGTGAAGTAGCTAGGAGAGGTTGGAATTAAGATGAATTTTGTAATATGAGTTGATAAGGCTTATTGATGAATTAGAAATATATGATAATAGTTTCCGCAAGTATTTGACATTTCATCTACTTGATCACTTCTGGAAGATTCTGGAAGATGACCTCATCTCTTACTAGGAAAATGAAACCATCTGATAAGTACTTCTTCTTTACCTGTCAATACTCATATGCTTAAATGGAGCTTAGGGGAGTGGTATCTTCAGATGAAAGATGCTCAGAGCAGTTTCAAGATATAGGGGAATGTTTAGACAAGTA